ATTTTCTTGGCTGAAACAATTCAAACGAGCCCATAATGATAGGACAAAATGAGTGCGAGTTACAGGGGATGCGCTCGACCACTCATCGCTCTTGGTCATTTGGGAATATGAATAGGTCGCGGTTCTTTTTAAAGCTTTGTATAGATGGTGACATCACAACATCTGCGGGAAGCTCATTCCATGGTTTGACCACCGGAACCGAAAAGGAGAAATTCCGCACATCTAGCCTTGCCGGCTGAGTGCGCATTTTTAACGGGTGACCTCGGAGTTTGGTCGTGGTAGCAAATTCAAAAAAGTCCTCGAATGCCAGGCTGCAATCCAACCCCTTTACAATGCGGTAGAGTTGCAAGGGATCCCCGCGAAGTTGCCCGTAGTTCAAAGGAAAGAGGCTCATATTTACTAGGCGAGTTGCATAAGGAAAGGAGCTTTGACCCCTAACCATCTTCCTGGTTCTCCACTGAACTCTTTCGAGGCAGTTTTGATCCTCAACCGCCCACGGTCTCCAGGCTTGTATGCCGTACTCCAAGTGCGGCCGGACGAATGTTCCGAATGTCTTAGAAAAAGCATCTTCGTCGAAGTCCATAAACGCACGCTTGATGGCGTGCAGTACGGACATTGCGCTTTTTGCCACTCTCGAAAATGAGCGGATGGTTTTAGGGAACTCGCCCTCAGCACACCGAGGTCTTTTTGGGCTTCGACCTCTTGTAGGGCTGCACCGCCCAGAAAGTAGTCCCTTGTGTTGGCGGATCTGGCTGTGTTGCCTAGGCGAAGTATGCTACATTTGGCAACGTTGAACCGCAGGAGCCAACGGTCTGACCATACCTCCAACCGATTTAGTTTCATCTACAGTCTGTCCTCGTCGTCAGGGCCTCGAATTACACTCCATACCTTCATGTCGTCAGCAACCATTGCTGCTTCGCTGTCTAAAGCTCTTGCGGCATCGTCCACGTATATTAGAAACAAAATGGGTCCCAGTACTGAACCCTGGGGGCACCATTCTCGACCATAGCAGGATCTGATTATCTTGAACGGCACACACATCCTGGTGCTGATACGCGAGGAAGTTTCGATTGATTTGAAGAAGTTGCATCTGATCGCTATTTTTTCAGTTTCTGTTGCAGTCTGGTGTGACACAGTTTCGAACGCCTTCTGGAAGTCAATGAAAGCTATGTGGACCGCGTGCCTGTCTTCGAGAGCTCGGGTCCAGCTCTGGAGAGATTGCAGCAAGTTTGTCGTGCAGGATCTTCATTTTCGGAACCCATGATGGCATTTCGATAGTAGGAATGTCAGGAAATGCATCCATGCACACTTCGCGATCCTTTCTTTAACTTTGCAGAGAATACATGTCAAGCATATGTGCATGTAATTTGCCGTCAACGCCCTGCTACCTCCTTTGTATAGCGGAGTAATATGTGCCAGCTTCCAATCGATAGGAAGTGTTTCAGTGTCAAATGACGTTTGAAGAAGCATCGACAAAGGCACGGAAAGCTTATTAGAAAGTTCTTCGAGAGGCTTGGGTGGAACCGCGTCTAGTCTCAGCGAATTCGATTCGTTCAGTGCCTCTAATTCTCTTCGGACAATGCCCTCTGAGAAGAGTGTATCACTTATGCACGGGGTCGGCAGTTCTTCTGTGAAGGGAGGAAGGAACATTGCCTCGTTTGTGTAGACTGATTGGAAAAACTGTGAAAAATACGCAACTTTTTCCCTACTATCAGCAATCTCAACGACATCAGCAGTCCTTATTAAGGGGATTTGATGCCTGTTCCTTGTACTTCGTCGGAGGTAACTATTGAGTCATTTTGGGCTCTGCGTTGCTTTTTGTAGCAAATTCTTCTCGAATTCCCACCGCGTTTACATATTCATGTTTCTCATTTTGTTCCTCTGTGTCTTGCAGTTGTCGGAATATTCAACTTGCCTAGTGACGCAGTATTTTCTCCATAATTTGTGCATCCTCTTGAGTTCTTTCTTTAGGTTGCTAGTTGGCCACCCAGAGTGTTTGTCCTGTCTTACACTAGTCAGTGGGCAGGGGTTGTTGATGAGCTGCAGGAGGACATTCTTGAACAGCTCCCAGTCATCATTGGCGTTACCCGTGAACAATGAGCTCCAGTCGAGACCGGATAAGTATGCCCTCACCTGATTCAAGTCGCCCTGCCAAACATTCCGTCGTTTGTGGTCTAGAGTATGCGAAATGGCGAATAACGAGCAGTCCCATATAAGCACTACATGGTCACTTCGGCCAAGGGATGGTGTGGAAATGATCTCGTCTACGCTGTCTGATGCTTTCGTCAAAACCAGATCCAGGCAGTTTCCCCTTTGTCCTTCAGGAGTACTCGTTAGAAACATTACACGTTGTGTGAGGGAAGCCTTTAATGTTTTGCTCAGCAGACGGTAATCAAATGTCGATTTTGGACCTGGCGCTTGGAGGATGTCCCAGTTAATTCTTGGTGCGTTGAAGTCGCCCATGCTCATGATGTTAGGTCGACTGGAAAATTTATCCAACTGCCCCAATAATTGAGTGTCGGCGATTTGGTCTGTCCTAGGTGGCCGGTCGACAGTGAGGACATCGAGGCTAGGGGAACCAGTAGCTTCGATGGCCAACCAAATAGCTTCCGAGATGCACGCAAACTTGGTGGTATTTTCCGACGCTGACAATCTGCCTTCACATACACAACTATACCACCACCCAGACGATGTTCCCTGTCCCTCCGATAAATTTTGCATCCAGCCAAAGCTATTTCGTTATCGCTAATATTCCCTAACAGCCAGGTTTCGGTTACTGCTAAAATCGCCGGAGGCAATTCGGCAAGGCAAAATTTTAGCTCGTCTAGTTTCAATACGAGGCCTTGGGCGTTTGTATATAAGCACCTTAATTTTACACCAGCCGAATTTCAGGTTGCATTTGTCACTGTTGTGGGCATTACTGCGTTATCTCGGACGTCATTTTCTCTGGGATCTTCCGATACTTTATGGGTTCCACTAATGTCCGTTGCTTCAGTCAGAACACTGGACGTTAAGGGCTTACTTGTGTTGTCGCCTTCAGCGGCTGGTTCCACGAATGTGTCTGTGTTAGCTGCGTAGCTGCTGTCGTTCTCAGTATTACTGGTTGGTTCTACTGTGACGGCATATTTTTCCGAACTACTTTCCCATTGAAGGTTCCCAGATTACTGAATTACAGATTTTGTTCGCCACCCTTCAGTCTCGAGTTTAATTCCGAGACAAGATCCCGTCGTTTCAGCCATTCTGCTGATTAGTGGTCCGGCTGAAAAAACCTGTTTATGTGTGTTTCTGAGGTCGGTTTTTGGAGAGGATCAACTTGACTCGCTCCTTGTTCTCCTGCACAATTTTGGGAGAGCGAGGTGGTAGTGCTGCTGTCCTGTCTTCACGAAGTTTTCCTATCCGGAATACCTTCAGGACCGTCATTTCCTTGTCTGCCTGGAGTAATTGGTTCAGTAGACCATGAAAAGATGCAAGATCCCCCGAGATACGGTCTTCAGGTCTCACTGCATTTGATTCATACAAGTCCTGACTAATCAGACACTGTTGGCGGTCACAGTCCTCCATAGTTTGTCTTTTCGGTGAATTCTCTGCATGTGGGTGATGGCGATTTACGGAGTCGTCGCTTGGACGCACACTTTTGCTGTCGACCGACTGTTCCGAGCAACCAATCAGGGCTGGGTGTGACCTCAGACTCCTGTTATGGCGTCTACCTATCCCCTTCCCACGGATTCCTGACTTTGCATTCAAGTAGGTGCTTTGTAGGGCACTCGGGGTGGTTGCGAGAACAAAAGGGCAACAGTAGACTGGATGACCTAGTTATATCATCTCTAGGCAGAAGAGAAATCCCGTCACTTACAGCAAGAGGCATAGGCGAGATGGCTTCTGCGCCAGGTAATTTTTTTTGTGGTATCGCTTAAGTCATCTTGCGTGGGAATCGAGTTTGCCCTTATCATCGGCCTCCTTTTCGTTTTCCTGCTGTCACCGGCATCTGCGGTTGTAACTACTGAGTTGCAACCCGTGTTTTGAGATGTCCCCAAGACGATATTTTTTCGCACTTTTCGCATTTTGCACTTCGTTTTTTGTACTCTAATACTGCAAACATTTCGGTCATAGAGGTTCTGTTGCGTGAGCGTCCTTAAATCAGCAAGCTCCCACTCGAGTTGTTCTACTTTAGTTTGAATATATGCACACCCACTACGAGGCTCGTCCTCGCTTTTTGGCACGCTCTGCTTGTCTTTGGCTGGAAGCGCAGGTAGAGCGAGCGCAGATTCTGGATGCGAACGACATCTCACCTGACTTATCTTCCAACGTCGTGCCAGCGCTGGCCGTACTATCATGGTCAGATTGCTGAGACTCCATAAACGTCGATATGATAAAATAGGTGTAATTTAGCTTTCGATGTTATAACGAATACGTTGGATAAAACATGACAAATGAAAGCGACTATTCAAAACTCAGTGAGCGGAAAAATACTTAAAATATGACAAGTTGTATGGAATTTAGTTAGAAATGACTTAGCCCTTTTGCAGATCTCACAGGACTTGAATAACTTCAGACATTGAAGGATTTCGAGTGACTGTTTTTCTAGACTGTAAATAACCGCGAGTTGGATGCATAGTCACTTGAACTGTGCTGACAAACAAATTGCCCTTAATTCAGTTTCCTGGCGAATATCGACGCGTGAAAAAGTATTCCAAAAATGCACAAAGCAATTCTATGCGTACGGTTTTGGTATCAGTGTCAGAAACGATAACTGTGAAGTGGTAACCAAGTCGAAATAGTCCCAGTAGGAGCACAGAATAATTCCACTGTGCTCAGTCGGGCTTGGTTCTTGGAAGTGGTCTAGCCGTCGAGCTAGATCATTGCCGAAATGGAGATGGTGAGCAGGCAAAGACAGTAAGGCGACATTCAGCTTGCCAGGGGGTCACTTACCTTGTGCTATCCTGCGAGGCTGTAGGCGAATCCGCATCTTCAAGATAACAAGGCGATGGTCGGTCCACCCGTCAGCATCCGGAATCGCCTTTATCACGAGCACGTCCCGCTGGTCTCACCTCCAGACGAGGACATAGTTCAGCAGGTGCTACTGACGCGATCGAGGATGCATCCACGTGGCCTTCTTTCGCATCGACAGGCAGAAGTTGTTCGCCAGGATGAGTCGATGTTCTGCGCAGGTACTTTGGGGCCTTTGAGACCATGGGACCCAGCACTCCTCTCCAGGCGAACCGGGTCTCGCTCAGTGCGGCGATGTCCGCCTTGTAGCCTGCCAGTTCCCGAGCCACTAGCGCCGTCCTCCGTTCCGGTCGGCTGCTCCTTGGATTACCTAAAAGAGAACGAACATTCCGGGCTGCCAGAGTGAGCGTATTCACCCTATCGGTCTGGCAAGTGTGGTGACGGGGAGGAGGAGAGGAAAGAGAAGGAGAGTTTTGCTTCGACCGTGAGTTTAACGTCCGCGACCATGGCCAACCTGCAGACAGCGTGGTTCCCGAGTATTTGTTTAGGACATCTTTTTCAAGCCTCTTCCTCTTCGCTGGGGTGAGTAGGACTATCACTAAATAGGGCTGCCCAGATGTGTCAGGCGGCTGCCGAACTCCACTAGGGGCCACGGCCTTGCGCTAGTGAGAGAACGGCCTGAGTTTGCCTGGAACAGCCTACGACATCGTTGTAAGCTTGCGGACTCCTGCAATATACCAGGCGGAGTTTCTTCTCGACGATGCAAATGCGAAGATCCATCCGGCTAGCGACGTTGGCATTACCGTGAGCGGAGATGCACACGCGGGCACCCCCACCTGGTTTAGACCGCCTGTGGAGGCGGCTACCAAGGTGTTGCCACTAGGTAGGGCCTATCTTCGGGGAACCACATGTGAGAGTTGGGTGCCAGCAAATGGACGCTAGGCGTAGTCTACACTTGCAAGTAAGTGAGCGGCCTATTACGACCGTCACGTGAACCCACCGTTGGCACCACTACATCCCAGCAACACATGCCCTACGCACGAACACGTCCAACATCACATACCGCAGACACAAACTAGGCACCTCTCACGTGAGTAAGAAGTGTCCTCTTCGACTCCACCTTCATGTGGCACCCCAACCCCTTTGCGTAAAATCACGGTGTGTTTTGTTGGGGCGGATCGTCGTGTGTGGCACGCACAGACGGACTGTCCTCAGCGCTGTAAGCCACCTTTCCCAACTTTAGCATTAGCTGGTTAACCGGCCCACACAGTCAACCGTTACACGCGACAGAGTAATGAGGAAGACCGACGCTCAGCGCAAAATTCCACATTACAAACAATCCGACAAGCTTAAGACAATCACGGCGTGGTAAATGTCGTGACTTGGAAGGTTGCCAACCGACCCTTCAACTATGACCACACAGTTAACCCATTCTGTGATTGTTGTTGAGTGGCTGACTAATGGACTGAGACTCAGACTGAAGTAGCTTCTGCCTCATGTGGCCTTCATGACACTCCCACTCGGTTGAAATCGAACCACCCCTCCTTTTTGTGTGAACTTCTGGTTTTTGCGCATGGAATAAGGGGACGGTGACACGTCTTGTTATGGGTTCACGCCGCATCAATCACATGTGCCATCTCTCGCCTCTGGTCTTCTTGACTGTGTCCTAACATTAGGTCCATAGTTGTGAGGAGGAGGGAGTGCGGTAGATGCTGCACGGGCCAAATATAGTAACGAAGCAGTTCACGCCCAAGTGACCGTCCGTGCGCACAACCGGCTGCGGGTACAACGGTGGACATCATCGGAAACTACGGCCCAACTATCATATAAATGCCTTCGTTTCTGAGCAAAGCAGAATTCCTAAAGCCTTTTTCGGCTACCTATTTTTCTTTTGCAATTGACCGCATCCCTTCAATTCTTCTTTCGCCTAATACACCCCATATTATTATTATTATTATTATTATTATTATTATCATTTATTTATTTATTTATTTTGACCCTACAAGTAGTCAGTGATAGATAAGTCATCGTGGTAACGTACATTCACTTAGAACTGCGAACGTCCCGAACTCTCCTATTAAATGGCTAAGGGGTTTTACCTCCTTTGTTGATCAAAGTTTTCTTAGTGGTTCTCAAGATTTTTCTCCTTCTTCATTATTTGGAAACCTATATTAATATTCCAGTGTTAAAATCTGACTTCCCTGCTGGTGATAATAATTATTAGGGTGCTCACAAAACGTCAACCAGATTCTTAGGTCTTCCCAACATACCTTGTGCCTGGCAGCTCTTATGAAACGTGTCCTATACCCTTCCTGAGTCTGCCTACTTCTATGTATCAGTGGTCGTTATTAACTACGGCTTTCGTAAAACCTTTAAAGAAGTTCCAAACGGACGACTCTTAATAAAACAACAGGTTCTAGTAACTTGTTATCCACCTACTAACTTCAGTAAGTTGTACCTAACAAATCGGAGACAAGGGGTCATATTGGGGTCGTCATTTTCATATGAGAGTCGTATTATAAGTGGTGTCCCTTCGTTAGGTTTTCCTCTGTTTTGCTGTATATTAAAACTATTTCATTAAATGTTAAAGATTATCGGTCGTTCATATATGCTTATGATCCTAAATGCGTATATCCTTTCTCCAGATCAGCTGTTCAGTGCTACTTGGGACAAATCCATTTGGTGTGCTTGCTCTTTCAATATCGAGCTTAACATGGTGGACGATTAGCCAGTAGGGGTCGAACTGAAGAACCGCTCAAGAACGACCTTAATCCCGTCTCAGGACCTTTGGTCCTTGCAACGTGCTACAAATTTTAAACGGCTTATGTTGCAGTACTGGCACACTATTAGCCCCATCGTCGTTTGTTTTACTTAGGTGACCACCGTTTCTGAACATACCGCATAACAGTAAAAGGGACATTTTATTGTCAAACCGTTTGCATCGGGCGAGACTTGTCTCCGGCCAAATCCTCAGAAATCCGTGTTCCTGTGCCTCAAAATGATCTGACTTGACCGTGAAGTTAGTGCGTCGGGTATATATGCTTTACTGCAGTGGAGGCTGACAGTGCCCAAGGGGCGCAATAATAAACCTGATCTATTCTATCAAGTCTTGGCCTCCACAAAAATCACCTTTAAGGTTTAGGACTTAGGTGGACTAACCTCTTACCTTCGATGTTTCATTTATCGATTCGCCGAAATATCGTGTCCCTTCACTGTCTGATTGACTGCCCCAGCGTTTTCATACGCTCATGCGCCGACCGCTCGACAGTTCTGGCCACCGGCTTCCTAGCGAGGCGCAGGCACCGGAGGCGGAATGCTAGAGACGCTACAGGGTCAGTCAGATCGGCAGCAATGAGTGCTGTCACAAACGTATGCAAAGTAACCGCGATTTAGATTGAAACGCCGATGAAATGGTCGGACAGATTTGATTTCTAGGTGCCCTATGTAGAACATGGAGCCATAAACTCTAATTTATGAGTAAACGTGCCACTGAAGTACACAATGCCATACGAAGGGTCTACTACTAAAAGACTATTTCTGGAGGCAAATAGGAGCCCGGAATTCTTCCGAGGTAAACGCAATGTATTAATAGAGCCCTGTACCAGTAAGAAAAAGAAAATATGAAGGAACTCTGACAGAATTAATCCACACAAAAAGGGACTCGGCAAACATGAAAGCTAAGTGGGCCAACATCTAGAAAAGGTGTCGACGTTGAAATCTTTCGTATGGACATAAGACACGAAAAACTTTTAGGAAAGTGTTTGTTGGGAGTGCCTACACTCCCAAAAACAAAAGCAAACCAATCACTGGAGATCACGTGCGTTTGCTCTCTCTCTACAACCCTGTCATTTCACTCAGGCGCCTTCCCATTGGCTGCTCCCCTCTGCCCGAAGGTCATTGGACAGAATGTCGGCGAGCCACGGTAGCGTGTTATAAATATGCGTCACCCTTAGCTGGTCGCGACTTGCAGTGTTTTCCTAATACACTTTTCGTGGCCAGCCGTGTGTTCCTTGTCTGCTGCCTTGGTATTGGGGACCAGGGTCGAGTGCGTATACGCTCCACGGGCTTTCACGTAGCAGGCGGGTCATAACAGTATTTAAACCTGTCTGCCGTTTTTCTGTGCACGTATGCTCAGTTGTAAAAATGAGTTTGAAGGTTTATAAATCCTTCAATTATTGCGGTACCTTGAATTACGGCTGCCTGTTAGATAATACTTTCGACTTTATGGCAAATATAGTTACAATTGGTTGCCTCAATCGGAAATTGGGAGTCAGACTTACCTACTGTAAGCTGCGTTGCATGCGAATTGTGATACAAGCTCCCCTTCCACGCGCTGTGTGTAAATATAGTCCCCATATAGGGGGGCGACACGTATGGCGGAGGGAAGGTATTCTACCCGTGCCTCACAACTACGCAGGCACCCGCTATGAGCATGAACATCGAACAAGTGCATGGACAATACAGCTGTTGCTCTGTCGACGATAGGAATCGGCAGAGTGGTTCAGTACGATCCATCTGACTTAAATTATAGTTTCGCTCTAGAATTGCCCGTCTGCCCCAATCAACGGAGGTGTATCAAAAACGTAAAGAAAAACACCACCGAGCACGCGCAAAAAACGCCAGAAGCTTTGTAGACCCACGACCGATTGTATGTGTTTACTGCATCGACATTTACGGGCGCACTCGTTTTGTCTGCCGCTCAGTCCCATCAGAATTCCGTTCTGACCACTGGGATGCTGTGACCTCAGTCACGTTGTCGGTCTTACCTAGGTCTGCCGCAGCTGGGCATCCCATATTGATATATCCGCAGGCAGTATGGCGCCAGTTCTGTGGAATAAAGGAAAGACAGGATAGCAGAACAGCTTTACTGCGACAGTCAATCTATGAGCATCAATTGTCAAGCCTTCTGTCCTTCGCCTCGTGTTTAGGACGTCTGCCCTTGTCTGGGTCGCATTTTCGCGCTGGTCTAGCTC